CCCCAAAACCCCAAAACCCCAAAACCCCAAAACCCCAAAACCCCAAAACCCCTTTCTAAACCAGGAAGATTGAACATCTTCGGTTATGAAACTTCTTCACAGCACTTTTGGATGTCTTAAATGTTTGCTGGTACGAGAGGATCAAACCCAAGCTCTTCAACAGGGATTCCAAATTCACTCAGCTTTCCTTCATAAGTTTTAACCATGGTTGAATGTGCTTCTCTGATGGTCTTGAGTTCTTGTTGAATGTGCTTAATAGCTTCATTTTTAATTCTCTCACTCTCTTCAAGTGTACTTCTGATATCTTTGAGTTGATTCTGATCAATCTTAGATGCATTTAGGAGCTCATTGAGCTGAGCTTCCTTAATATCAATGCTTTCTTGAATTGTCTCTATCTGTTTTGTAAGAATCAGGTTCTTTAATCCTGATTTCTGATGCAAATCATATATCTTCTTATGGAATTGGGCAAAGAGGTCTTCTTTCTCTTTTATTAAATATTGGTATTGCTGGAACTTTACCTCATATTCCCATTCAATCTCTCTATATCTTTTGTCAAGGCTGAGGATGTCTTTATTTATATATATCAAGTTCGCCATTCATAGCGTCGAATTTTATCTTTTTCTCTCTGAGAGCTCTCACTTCAAGGTCTATTTCTTTTAATGGATCGCTCATTTTTGCATTGATTTTCTTCTGTTCTAGCAAATCCTTCATTTTTGCTTGATCATTTTTCCTTACTTCAGCCAGGTCATCTTTCATTTGCTTGATTACATCAAGGTTGGTATTAGTGATTTCTTGGTAATAATTTTTGATCTTGGTATAGTTTTGGTCATGGCGGGCAATCAAATCCTCAATCGCTTTATCTTTCTTTGCTTCAATTTGCAAAGTCATAGCTTTTCTCTTTTCCTCCATCTCTTTTCTTAAGAGGAGCATTTTATGAGTGTATTTCATCTTGATTTCATTAGCCACTCTTTCATGTTCTTGTCTGATTGCTGTCTTCTTTTTATTGTTAGCTTTCTTGAGGGCTCTGACATACTCGCCTTGACGAACCTCCTGTTCTTTCATTGCAACATTCAGAGACCGGATATCAGCTTTGAGTTCTCTAGACTCAATTCTCTGCTCGTCTTCAATATTTTTGAGCGTGATTTCAGACTCCTTCTTTAACTCAGTGAGTTGATCCAAATTTTGAAACATGAGATGCTTGATCCTTTGTTTGTAAACCTTGATCTCAATTTGATGTTTTTCATCAAGGTCTTGCATCTCTCTTTCTTTGTTCCTCAAATCAGCTTGTTTGTCCTCAAGTTCCTTCTTGGCAACAATCCAGAAGTAATTGACTCTTTGCCTCTCGTCCTGGTAGAGGCCAGCTTCATCTTCTTCTTTCTGAACTTCAGCTTCTAGTTCACGGATTTGGAGTCTTAAGCTCTTTTTATACCCTTCATCATCAATATCATTGACATTTTGAGCATTTTGAAGAGCCTCTTCCTCAGGAGTCAGTTTCTTAGGCTTATCCTTCTTGTCTTTTTTAGACATAAAAATTTAAATATTATAAATTTTTATTTCAAATCAATGTTTTTAACTTTTTAAGGGGTTTTGGGGTTTTGGGGTTTTGGGGTTTTGGGGTTTTGGGG